TTTAAGCTGTTAGCTAACGCTATGCAAGGTTGGCATAACTACAGCGATGTTATTGCTAACGGGGAGTAGCTTAAGCTAGGTTAGCACAACTTTAGCAATGCAACGTAAATGAAAAGCGCGACCGACACAACGAAGCACGCATCACTCGTCTAGCTGTAGCTTCCTCCTGTACTACGAGAAGACAGCAGTGAGGACTGAAGGACTGAATGGAGTCAGAGCTCCATCTAGTGGACAAACGGCACAACGACAGCATTCTGGTTTGGAGGCAAAGTGGTTGTTGGTGTTGTGGTTGTGGGGATGGTGGTGGCTGGTTGTGTGGTTGGGAGCGTCGACGGGGTAGTTGTAGGGATTGTCGTGGTGGTTGGGATGGCGGTCGTAGGGGGAAGCGTGGGGCAAATAAGCTCCTCCTCTGTTAATGATGTGATTGCCGTCCCTTTGAGATGCTCTGGATGCTCGCAGACCACCTGAGACGAAAGCTTGTCAGAGTTCACCTTCAGCCAGGTGTGAAAGTCTATCAGGTTACAGTCACAGCTCCAGGGGTTGCTGCTCAGGTCGAGTCTTCTGAGTTTCTTTAAAGGCTCGAAAACATCCCCAGGAAGCGTCCGCAGGTTGTTGTGAGCGAGTTTGAGCGTGACGAGCGACTGAAGCCTCTCGAACACATCTGCATCCAACGACTTTATCTCGTTGAGCTGGAGGTTCAGGTCTGTGAGCTTCTCGGGGCCGTCGAAGAGGTCGGCGGAGACGGCGACGAAGTGGTTTTCAGACAGATCCAGCTTCTTGACTTTCTTCAGAGGGCCGAATATTCCTTTAGGAAGAGAGCTGAGGTTGTTCTGTTGGAGGCTTAAATCCGTCAGTTTGGGCATTTCTCCAAACAGCGCCGGAGGCAGACTCGTCAGCTGGTTCTTCTTTAGCGTCAGAATTTTGAGCTGAGGGAAGCCGACAAAATATCCTTCAGGTAAAGTCGTCAGGAGGTTACTGTCCAGGTACAGCCTGTTTAGTTTGTCTTTATGTGGAAACAGATTAGGTGATAGCTCTGTTAGTTTGTTTCCAGACAAGTTAATTTCCCTCAGGTTTGGTAAATTCTGAAAAATATCTTCAGGAATGGAGGTGAGCTGATTCTCATAAAGCCTTATTGCCTGCAGTTCCTTCATGTGGGAGAACCAGACGGTGGACACGGCCGAGAGGTTGTTTTTACCTAAATTGAGCGTCGCAAGGTTGTCCAGACCCTCAAACGTCTCGTCTTCGATCGTTTCGATACCGTTCCCGTTTAACAGGAGGTCCCTCAGTTTTTTCAGGCCTTCAAAGAGGCCCTTCTCGAGCCTTTGGAGCTCGTTAAACTTGAGTATAATTATCTCCAGGTCGCTGTTGTCTTTGAAGACTCCCACTGGGATCGATGTTAAAGGAGTGCCGGAGATCTCGATGTGCTTGAGGTGAACCAGACCTTCGAAAGCTCCCAGCTCGATAGACGTCGTGTCGGTGGTCATGAACTCCACCTTTTCCAGCTGGGGGTTCTCCACAAAGGCTGATTTGGGGATTGTTTTAATCTGACTTGACACGAAGAACACCTCGGTCACGGTGGCTCCAAGGAGGCGTGGGATTTCTGTCGC